GCCCTGGACTAGAAATTACCTGGCCGGAGAAAAAAGTAGGATACTGGAAGAACAGGCAGTGGTACTACCACCTCTTTCTTTGTCCTTTGGGCCCCAATACGTAGGCCTCTATTTTAAAAGTTTAGACCAGGGTTTAGTACACATTCTCTTTAAAGGCTAGAGGATAAATATTTTAGGCTTAGCAACCTCGAAGGCCTCTGTCACAACTTCTCAACTCGGCTATTGCAGCACAAAAGCAGCCACAGAAAATTTACAAATGAATTAGAATGGTGGTGCTGATAAAATTTTTATTTATAAAATAAATAAAATAACTAAACATTATTCATAAAACTGGCTGTACTATGCTTACTGATGGCTTAGACCAATGCTATCTAATATGAGTATAATGTAAAGCATATATGAAATTTAAAATTTTCCAGTAGGTATATTAAAAAAGTAAAAAGAAATAAAATGTATGTTTTATTCACATCAATATACTCAAAGTATTAACATTTAAACATGTAATTAATGTAAAAAGCTGAGTTATTTTATTTTCTGGATTAAATCTTCCAAATCACCTCAATCTGGATGCTAAATTTTCATTAGAAATACTTGATCAGCATTTAGATTTAATGAAATTTACAGCTGAAAAGTAGATTCATGTACTCAAGTTATTCCAAATATACTTACAAGTGTTCTAATAATTGGATCAAGTAACAGTTTTCAAAGTTCAATTAAAATTAATTAAAATTAACATTGATAATTCAGCTCCTTGGTTGTCCTAGCTATACTTCAATGGCTACATGGGGTTAGTGACTACCATTGTGAACAGTGCAGGTCAAGATAATCCGAGGCTCAATGTGATTGGCCTCCAAGATAGGTTAGTACAGGAGTCGGCAAACTTTTGAGACGGAAGAGCCAATCCTGTCCCTCACAACAATTTAAAAATTATTCGAGAGCCATAAAACAAATGAAATCACCATTATGTTAATAATATCCTTTAAATATTTTACAAATGAAACTATGATAGTTTTATTTTCATTTTCAATTTTACTTCAGAGCCACATGTTCGTACCCAAAGAGCCTCATGTGGCTTGCGAGCCGCAGTTTGCCGACCCCTGGGTTAGTAAGTTGTTTCCTCTGCCTCAGGGATCATAAGGAACATCAACCTCTAGTCCTATGAATGCTGTACCCTCATTTTCTCAGCCTCTTTGCCTGGATCCTGATCTCTTAATATCCGGGGCTACTGCTATAGATGATTTTCTAAACTTCACCCCTTGCCTGAGCTCAATCTCAGCATGCATGGCCGTGTGAACATTTTTGGCCCACCTGAGCTGTGGAACTAGCTAGTCCCATTCTAGTCCATCTGAATTCCCACTGTGGACTTCTTAATTTCCACTTTGGGCAATCTTGTTCTATAATCAAAACTTGCTTATTCTAAGCTGTTTGCTGAACAAGTCAACAAGTTAACTGTGAGGTGTAAAATATCCTTGACTACATTCACCATCAATCAGTGACAGGCCCTCTCTCCTTACATATCTATCCGGATAACTTGGAATTTCACCTTCTTATGTACCATGTATTCTAACTGTGCAGCTCAACAAGTTGAGCTACTAAACCTACTAGGATATATACATATAAAATAATTTTAAACAATAAATATACACATGAAACACAATCAATCTGTGACTATCTATGGAAACAAGTGGCAGGGAGAACAAAGATAATTAACTCTATATATCTCCCAAATGTCATTCTAAATTTCAAAGTTTTCTCCTACAAAACCCAGTGAGTCACTTTCCTACTTTTCTTCTTGGGAAAGTGATAGTAAACAAAGTAACTACTCAGCAATTAGCGCTGTATAGAGAAAAAGAAGCATGCGCGTGCGCACACGCACACACGCACAGACACACACACACCTGAATAAACAATGTATTATTAAAATGAAAGACCAACTGCATAATCCTGATAATTTATCAAAATCCTGTTAATTAAGTATTATATTTAAATAAATAAGACTCACAAAATTCTTTCCGTACTGAAGGAACAATATGTTTTTCATGTCCTTTCTTCTTAGAGCCGCATCTTTTGCCTTCCACAGGTCTGGGATTACATCGATTTGGTGAATATGCTATTTCCGAGCCTATTAATAATTAAGACAAAAATTCATTAGCATTAAGATAACTACTTAATTGAGAAAAGGTGATCAGCAAAGTAGCATTTAAAGGGCTGGTCAAGTGGCACGTTGATTAAGAGTTGGCTTGGGAGTATGAGCTTTGAGCATCAGGGCCTCCTGGTTGGGATCCCACATGAAGGCTAGTGACGCTGTGCCCTCTAAAGATAAGATGGTGAACAGCTCGATGTGGAGCTGAGCTGCCATGAGTTGCCAGCGACAGTGTAGGCTGCAGCGGGGCTGCAGTGGGCTGCCGTGAGCTACCATGAATGCCTGGCAGCCAGCAAGAGCTGCTGTGAGCCACTGTGAGCAGCCATCCAACGGCCGGCGACAGAGTGCCTCACCCGGGAAGAGCGCAATGATCACAATACCAACTTGGGCCAGTGAAGCGACGTCCTCCACAACTAGACTGAAGAACAAAAGGACAGCAACTTGTCTGTCCCCCTTCCCTGATTCTCCAATGCTGCTCCTCTCTCCCAATTCCCCAATAAAAAATCTTTCAAAACAAAACAAAAAAGGAAGCATTTAAAAAATAAAACCTGAATCTTCATTTCTCAAAATGTCCCGCAGCAAAGATGCACAGCCATCAAGCCCTTGTATGGTTTCAGTCTGTAACGAGAAAAGTCATTTGGAAATGTGTATATAAAATTTTAATGCAGGGGAAAAAAATTACATAGTTACATTTTTTTTAAGGGTAAATTATTGATAGAAAACATGTTTTAAAGGAAAAGCTTTCATACTTTATTATAGCAATTAATACTTTACTTTTGAATTTTTATTCCAACTTGTTAGCTTTTATCTGAAGACTAATTAAAATAGTGTACATTGTATCTATTCAGTCTAATCTTACCTGACTTTCTGAATCAGAATGGGTGGGATAGCCAGAATCTGTATTACAACGTGATATCTTTCTTAAATGGGTCCTGGAAAACAAGTTTGTTAATATTTTTACAAATAATACAAACATTATTTTCCTAACATATAAGTATTCATTTTATTTCCAGCAGAGGTTGGATAAGAAAGCTTGTCCAATCATGTATAAGATGGATTTAGACTTTAGGAAGATTTAAACACTTAAATGATCAGAATGGGTAGATATGGAAGGTTCCTCCCCAGAGTTTTGTTAAGGTAGAGACCCATCTAGTTTTCTAGGGTAGGCTTAATTAGTCCAGCCCAAAGACTTGAAAATCTCTTGAGATTTGCTCAAGCTGTAACCGTCTTTACACACTTACCCTTTCTTTCCATTTGTTAATTTAGCAGGCCCAGTGTGCTTTCCTGAAGATAACACCTATAAATTAATGCATTATATTATAGC